TCCTCATATAAGGACACTAGTCCTGGTACATCAGGACCCTACCTTTATGACCTCGTTTGACCTTAATTACCTCTTTAAAGTCCTAATGGGGGTCAGGGCTTTTAACATAGGAATTTGGGGCAGGGGATGCACAGTACACTTCACAAGACTGAGTAATATTCAGTTGTGTGCATATACTTCAGGTTATTTATCTTTTCATCTATTGATGGATACCTGGGGCTGTTTTCTGTTTGGGGCTCTAAATGAATCTGCCATGAATATTCATATACAAGTCTTTTTGTGAACATGTACTTTTATTTCTCTTGTGTAAATACATAGGAGTAAATTGCTGAGTCATGTTTACTTTTATAAAAACTGACAGACTTTTTTTCCAAAACAAATGTACCGTTTTTGCATCCCACCATACATGTATGAGCTTCTTGGTTGCTTTCTTTCTCTTTTTTTTTTTTTTTCGGTCAAAGTTATTGGTGTTTTAGTTTTAGACCTTTTGTTTGGTGTGCCTTGAGTAACTTTTGACCAATCCCTAAAGAAACTAAAAAGCCAGTTCTAAGTTGCTTTCATTTTTTCAATGAACATGCTTGTTTTTGTTATAAAATGGCCATTTAATTTTTCTTAACCGAAGAAATAATCAATCACTGTTACAGATTTTTAACGAAAAAGCAGAAGTCCCCTTCCCTACTTGTATCTTAGGTCTTTCTTCAGAGTCAGCCACCCTCACCTTTAGCTATTTTTCTTGTTGGTTACCTTATAGTTGATACTGCTGTTTCTTAATTTATCAGTTTCTGACTTGGTCTATAAACTTCCTGAGATAGCATATGAGGACATAGCTCTCCCATTTACACCCTATTTCCTCTCCAACTGCTACCTCCCTGCCAACACAATATCACATTTTGGCTAAACAGTTATTACTATCTCATTACAGTGACAAAGAAAATATGTTCAATGCTGAGGAAAAAAGAGCTATAATCATCCCTCCTTTCACAACTCTTTATTTTCATGGCATTAATACTTTGTTTCTTCATTTGTCTAGCTTGCTGTGTTCCTACTGTTGATTGTTTCCACATGTTCTAACATCTCTTCCACATGCCCATGAATAATATTTTTCATATGCTCAAATAGATCAGTTATTGTTCTTTCCTGCAGATCTCCATACTCCTATTCCACTCTGAAATGGTTTTTCTGTTGACCTGCTGAGCAACTGAGACTTCTCTTCACCACCCTTCCACACTCTTTTGGATTAGTCTCCTTATTTGCTGAACTCCATATCTTCCTCTTTTTTTTTGTTAAGCCTTTTATTTTGCTGGATTATAGCCTTCGGTATGTGTAGGTAGGAAGTAAATCTTTTGAGACCCTAAATATCTGAAAATCTCTTTTTTTTTTTTTTTTTTTACTCAACTTGATTGATAGTTTGGCTGGGTTTAAAAGACTAATTTGTGAATACATTTTCCTCATGATTTTGAAAGCATTGTTCCATTGAGCTCTAGCACCAATTTTTGCTGTTGTGAGGTCTGACACCATTCTGTTTCCTAACCCTTTGTATTTTGTATGTTATTGTTTTACTTTTTGGAAATATTTAGAAACTCGTTTGTGCATTGTTCTGAAATTCCACAGTGATCTCAGTGTAGGTATTTTTTTTAGTCATTGTAATGTATACCTAATGGGCTTTCATTTTGGAGTTTCATGTTCTAGAAAGTTTCCTTTAGTTCTGCAAAGTTTTTCTTGTATTATTTCTTTGATCGCTCCTTCCCCACAGTTTTGTATGACTCGTAATAGCTTTTATTGTAATGTTGAATCTCATGAGCTAATTCTCTGATTTTATCTTTTTTCTTACCTTTTTTTAACTTTCTGAGAAAATTCCCTTTACTTCATCTTCAAGCCTTCCTCCTACATTTTTATTACAGTTTTCTTATTTGTTTAAATATTTTCTGATTGTTCCTTTTTGTAGCATTTTGTAATTGTTTTGAATCTTCTTTCTTTTTGTTGTTTTTTTGCTCATGCTGTACACTTTCCTTAGCTGTCTATTCATATTAAGAAGAGATACACTAAAAAGTTAATATATTTTTATGTATAAGTGAGGCTTGTTGGTTAGTGGACTTTGTAGTAGAGTGATAGGATAACATCTAGATTTTTATTATGGGGCACCCAAATGCCACTCTCTTGTGGCATTTCTTTCTCTTAGGCCATTTCATTTTTCCAGAGAAGAATTCAGTAGTTTCCTGAATGCAGTATACAAGCCTGGATCAAGACTTGCTGAAACAGGGACAAGAAAAGGAACATGAGCCTCAACCATTGACCTGTCTCCCATGTATTGGACTTCTTAGTCCTCTTGTTCTCGTCAGAGAATAAACCTCCAGTCTGCTGGCAGGAAGAGCCAGATGAGAGGAAGCAGTAATAGGATAGTTGGCTTGGCTGCCTTCACAGAAGGTACAACCTGGTGGGTTGAGAGAGGGAGATTAATCATTCTAAATATAAAGTTTCAACCAATCTCCTTCTTTTAAACCCTTTACTCTCTGTAGTATGCTGTGCCTCCAACTATTGAAACTTTTCGAAGTCCAGAAGATCAAACAATCACTTATTGTTAGTTTCCACCTTGCTAGAAACAAACCTAGGTGCTAGCTGTCTGCTAAATCTCTTCTATCCAGTCTCAACACTTTGCATTTTCTAAAACACTGTTGAAATCACTCCACTACTGTGGTCCTCTCTCCTAGTTTCTTGGTCCTTATAGATTTATATCTTTTCAGTTTCCTTTATTTTCAGTTTTGAGGCATGTTCACATTGATCTGCCACTTAACCAGAAGAATCACTCTTAAAGGATATAATTTTTGACTCTCTGAGATACTGAGAGCATGTCCCAGTTGCCTCACTTAAAAGCATAACTTTTTTTTCGTACATTTTTGGGCAAGTATGATTCTCCTAAATGTTTAAGCTATAGATTTAGGCTGCATATCTAAAATCAATACATTTCATATAAAGAAATAACATTATTTGTCAATTGTTAAAAACACATATTGTGGAAACTGGTTTCTAAAAATGGTCAGTTGGCCTGCCTGAATCTTTCACATCTTCTTACCTAGTCTCTTTGAGGGTAAACATCAATATTTGCAAGGCAGCTGACTAAGTTAAGGAATTTTCGATACTATGGATTTATATTCTTTTATAAAGCCATCTCTCCTCCATAGACATTGACCCCATGAACTTGGCTTCTTCATTAGCACTCTCCCTCAGCCAGCTAGGGTGACTGCTCCCAGAAAATAACTCTTATACTATCTTTCCTTTAGGATGGTCCAAATAAGACTTTGAACCTAACAATTAAAACTGCTGCAGTGTTTTAACTATAGTTCATCATGTTCCCTTTCTCCTATGCATAGTTTGGAATTACATTTTTATTTTTCTTCCAGAATTGGAGAGTTCATATCTTTATAACTGAGCTCATTTCCAGATTTAATGTATGTCGTAAATTAATTGGCTTTGTAAACCTCTCTTAAATACAACCCAGCACGTTGACCATACTCTTAAGAGAGCACCCCCAGTTGCTAAATATGAAAATGGAACAGGTTTCGACATCAGTTTCCAAACCCTTGGTCTTGGTGACAAGATACTGCAGTATACCTTGAGAGATCTGCTAATCGTACCCAGGCCTTTGCCTTAGGAGCATGAGCTGAGTGTTGGCCTCATCTGTAATTGGACTCTTATTACCATCTGGCAGCTTCTATGACATATTAGTGTCCTTGACCTACTTTCTCATTGGCACATACCAGCAGCAAATAGGCGTGTATCTGCATCCATAAGACAGCTTAGCTTTATAAATAAGAGAGGCCATAATATCTTTATTTTCTTTAGCTATGATGTAATTGCTCTTGGCAGGTTTTTTATTTTAACCAAAAAGAAGCTAAAATTTCAAGATTCCCATGTTACTTTAATAATGAATTTTTTTAGTCTACTTCTGTATTAACTGAAACAGTCTAGAAACTCCTGGTCCTGGCCTCTATGTCTTGAAGAAATTGCATGGTATTTTATCTCTCTCTCTATGGCTTCAGTCCATTGGCGTTCTTAATATGCAAGCTCTCTGCAAATTTTAATAGAGAGCTTCATCTGTAATCCTTTTAAGCAGAGCCAGTGGAGACAAGATTGCTTTAGTTAGTAGTTTACCAGCTTAAACCGAGTACTCTCTAGTTGGAATGAAAAGTTAATCAAGGAAAAACTTAGAATAAGTTTTCACTTACATTTTATATCTTACTTGGCAACTTGTTTGAAAATGTTGCATAAAAGATCCAGCACAGGAAACATTTTATATTCCTGCTTATGATTAATAAATATGGAATCTGAGACATTCTATTTTATAAATCAAGATCTTAGTCCAAATTTCCTGTTTTTCTACATTAAAAAAACCCTCAGGGTAAAAATAGCACCAAACTGTATATACGGGGTCAAGGCAACAAAGTCAATTACTCAGTATGCCATGGTGCTGAGACTTTTGTCAGACCATCAGCAGAAATATTAATTTTGTAGTCACTATAGATAAAGCATTTGGTGCAGCTGGTTTTGTAAAAATATAAGTAAATATATCCTACTTAAGATTTCCTATACTTATTGAGAAGAAGAAAGGAATATAACAACATAATAAACAAAGTAATAAACAAGTGACTTGGAAATACAGGCTCACACATTTGTAGTTCATCGAAAACACTAGTCACACTAGTCAAAGACTTTCTTTCGTACCGTGTACCACCATCCCCAAACACACGTATACACACACTCACATTTTGACTTTTGTTCAAAAGTTTTCCAGTCTTAAGCCACCTATACTTTCTGGCTTTCTCAAATTCTTCAGCCCAGCCCCTGCATAATAGAAAACAATGGATCTTCCAGCATCTCTCTGTAGAATATTACCAAGGTACTCTGATGAATATATGCATGGCAGTAAGTACTTTGGGATCCATACCACTGTTGACACTACATCATGCTAAGGTGAAATTTTTCTCATCTGTATTTATTTATAGCCTACAGAATGTTTCTTGATACAACCAAAGGAAACAAAAGAAGATGCCACCAAGACCAGAAAGAGGAGGAAGGTAATAATGTCTTACAGTGGGGTGGCCCCATGTGGTTTCTTTGCCATTTGTATATCATGTACTCTGGTAAGGCAATTATTGTAATCCTCACTTTAGAGATGGCAGAGATTATAAGATTCATTGAGGTTTGGTGACTCTCCTAAGGTCACTAGTAATAAGTGTTTCTGTTGGAGCTAAAAATAAATTCTTCTGATTCCCATTTCAGTCTTGTGGTGTACCATACATCTTTGTAATCCACCCTGTATTTTCCTAGTGGTTAGAAGTCAGACATGGATTTCTAATTCTCGAAGGGACCCAGAGCTATCCTGCCCTCTGGGCCTTCTGGCTCTGTTCAAGGAAAGAAATGTACCCATTTCTTTTCTTACCCATTTCAATTTTTTAAATCCTTTATCTTAAATATTTAAAATCTTATCTCTTAGGTATTAATAAAAAGAAAATAATAAGCAGATGAAGGTAGTATAAGGCATTTGACTGTAATTTAGAACATAATTTAAAGCAAAAGGCTTCCCATGTGTTTTAATACTTAGCTGTGAGCATATGAAAGATTCTGTTGCTCCTATACAAACTGTCTATGGCTCAGCTTTGGAGAAAGTGTGGTTAGCTTTGACCTTCCACCACAGTTGCGAAAACAGTGTAATTCTCTGCTTGTCAAAAAGGGTCTGCTGCTGAAGGCAGCCGAGGAAATACTATTGGGATTAGAGGAAAGAAGATAGACGAACCAGTTACTTAACAGCAAGCTTTTAAAAAACTGAGAGCATGTGTGCATATGTTTTCTTTGCTCACAAATGACCAACTAGGAAGATGGCAGATGCCAAATTGGCTGAGGTTTGGCAAGTCCTTAAAGCAGTGACTTTCACTTCTCTTTGATAGTTTGTACACTAATGGCCTCCAGGAGTGTTAAGTTCTTGGTGGCTCAAGGTCAGAGCTCTAGCTAGATAGTTTAGCCTTGGCTGAGGTCATGCTAAAATGTGCCCACTGGTGACATATTTTTGAAAGTTAATTCATCTGACAGAACTCTGACCACTCTTGGGAGTGGTATAAAAATGAGGATATTGTGGGAGGAGGGGAAAAGGCTGGTGGGGGTGGGGCATGGAATACTTTTTCTGGATCTTCGATAAAACATTAGAAGGAAATGAGAAGGGAAGTTTATGATGAAAATTGAATGACCGATTGTATGCTCCTAGAACATTGCAGCCATTCAGCAAATGCTATGCTGATGAGTCCCAATCAAAATAGATACTGTAAAGTATTTCCTGTTCTGCTTTCCATGAGGCCACTTGAAGACTGTTTCTCACAAGACTTAAGAATTGAGGGCCTACAGTCCTCCTTTTCAGTGGGCTTTTATGCTCAGATTACTCCTGCAGGTTTTGCTTTTATCCCAGAAATCCAAATTCGAGATTCAGTGCTTAAAAATCAGGTTAGGCAAGAAATTCTCAAAATTCTACTCTCCCAGAAATACAAATCTTCTAAGGCTTAAGGGATCTTTCCATAGCAACAAGATTTCTTGACTTTTAACAGAAAACAATGCCCTATTATGGAGACTCCTGCAGAAATTTCTGTTCTCCTAAACATTATAGACCAAGAGTTACAAGGAGCCTTTTAGATCATCCATTCCCTTTTTTAAAGCAGTAGTTATATCGAAGAAATTTTTATTAAGTTTTCTGAAGTGCATTTTTTTGCACTCCACATTCACACTCAGCTAGTACCAAAACTTGTGTGAAGTTTAAATGCCAGAGGAAACCAAATCCCGGTCTAAAATCTATCTTCCCATTTTTTTTCTTCCTTCTTATCTTAGAAAAAAATTACTGATGTTCTTACAAAATCAGAGCCCAAACCAGGGACACCTGAGGACCTACAGAAGCTGATGAAGGACTATTACAGCCGCACTCGCTCAGTGATTGAATTAGAGGAACTAAACCTGCCAGGTACAGCCGGGCTTGCTTGGGTTTTTCCTTCCTTTTTTCTCTTTCCTTACCCTCCTGCGGTTAGTCATTTCACAGACTCCATTGTTAACTGTTTTCAGTCCTGATGATGAGGAACAACACCAGCCCATCTTGCCTCCACGATATGTCACGCTGGGGTCTCAGCCAGTGATCCCTTCCACTCCTTTCCTCGACCTAATAGTTCTGCCTGGTGGATGGTTTCTTCATTAAGATGCTAAATGGTATTTGTTCCGTCTAATAGAAAGATTTGTAATTGTATTTCTTATTCAAAAGGCTAATTATTGGATGTGCTTTTTTTTTTTTGAAGATTCTTCAAGGAGTAAGGTATCTCTAATGAGGGTAGAGGTTAAATAAAGATAAGACACGTGTTTAAAAATATAGGTATGAAACATTCATGTACTCATTCTTTAGAGACAAAAACTTTTACTTTAATAAGCATCTTAGTTTTCTTGTTGCCCTTCCGGTTTTCTAGTTTGTTTTTAGGGTAAGGTGTGTTTTTAGGGTAATGTTTTGGGTCCCAGCCCAGACTTTTTTCAAGCAAACTGTGTAAAGACAGGGACAAAATTCTGCTTTTTTAGCAAGGCTGATACCTCACCCCAGGTCTACGCCTCAGAGTATTTAAAATTAAGTATTTATAAGTGAGAGCTACTGCCTCAGAGTATTTATAATTAAGTTGAAAAGATATTGCAAAAAATTCATAAAACAACGAGTTTTAATTAATTTTAAAATTATAATATAGCCTATACCTCTTTAAGGCAGATAGAAGAAAAGAGGTGTTGTCATAAAGTCAAACCACAAAAGGTTTGGGTACCAGTGCTTCAGATGAGCTATTTATAGACTACTCGGAATATTTACTACTGCTTTTGGAAAAAGTCAAAGGTAACTTAATTTCCTTTTTCCATTACAACTTTTTCTTTCTCGAGGCTTGAGAAGCTGAAAAACAGCCTGTTCCCTGAATTTTTATAATTCCTTTGTGATGTTCTTTAAAAAAAAATTCACATTTGAGTTTGGAGAAGTGAGTGCCCCTTTTTCTTTTCCAAAAGGAATACCCTGTAGGGAGTGCATTTCCACGTGAGCGAGATCTGGAGTTTAGACTCAGCCCAGGCAGCTCCAACAGCAGTTACAGCCAGTCTTCTCAACACACCGTTCCTCGGACATCTGCCCCCACTGCTCTGTCAGGTGTTGTTAACAAAGCCTCCATTCAAGGTTTAACTGAAGTTTGGATTCGCTGTGACTCAATGGTCGCTTTTCCCTTCCAGTTCCTTGTTAAGGAATAACTTTAACTTTGGAAGTATTTGTGAGAAAATGGGAATGCTGCTACTCTGTAACCGCATAGAGCATCATAAACCTTAATTTTCTAAAATTGCAGTCAAACTTGAGACAAACCCTTTAAGGAGTCGTTTGAGTTTTATAGTGAGTTTACATTATGCTATTGCTATGTAACTTTAGTTCAGAAATATAGTTAAGACAAGAGTGTGTGTCATGGCTTGGTTTAGGAAGGAATATGTTAAAAATGTGTTTAAAATACTATTATAGCCAAAAAGAGATTTTTAGTCAAAAAATTAGGGTATTGTGACACACTGTGAATGAAGGCCCCACGGGAGGGTTTAGGAAAAGATTCCAGTCACTACACTGATGTGACCGAGGGCAGAGAGGAAGTCCCCACCAGGTGAGAAGAGGCCCCCACCAGGTGAGAAGAGGCCTGCCGCGGGCTATCTGGGGCAGCCTCCCAGGAAGGGGCATGGATGGGAGTGCATGTCAGTGACAACATCCTGTGCCTCTTTGGTTTGCCGAGATTCTAACTTAATTTTGAGTAGAAGTTGTTTGTGTCTGCAACACAGGAGCACGTCTTTCAGTTAATGCTGTGCATTGTACATTGTTAATGTCATATACATGGGCACTTGGAGTGTTGAGGCAGGAGCTGCTTGGAGCTAACTCAGTCCTCCTGAGAGCTGCAGTGTGGCTTAGAGCTCTGCTACATGCTGCAACTGAAGATCCCGGGAACGTAAAAAGCAAATTTCTAGGCCCGCTCCCAAGGAATTCTGACTCACTATGCAAAAAGTGTCCATCTGTATCTTTTTAAAGCTCTTTCCCTGAGTCTCATGATATCCAGGCTTGGGAAATTACAATTTTAAAAACCATCAAAGGCCCTACCTACAATAGTATAAGAGGCAACATCTTTGAAGTTAGTTTCTCACATAATGTGCGATATATATGCTGAGTCACAACTTAAGTGTCATTTAATTTAGTAATCTTTTACTCCCCAGCACTGTGCTCTGTTCATAGGCAAACCTTTTCTTGTAGGAAGAATTAGCATGATAAACATGATACTGCTTTTTTATGCATCTCAAGTACAGAGTTGATAATACTATGTAATTGCTAGGCCATGCTTGTCATTAGTTGAACAAGACCCCTATGTTTTATCTTAGTGTGTTATATTATCTTTTATTTTTTGTGATGTTGTATTGTGTTGTGTTATGTTGTATTTCGATGCCTTATTCCCACAATTCCCCAATCCACACTCCATTTTCTTTCCCAGTGCATTCACTCCAATATGTTAGAATGTTTTTAAGTATGTGTATGTTCCTATAAAATGTCATGTGGTTGTGTGGATGTACATTTTATAATTTATCTAAGTGATGTGCTGAACTTCTCATTCTGTTTCTTTCCTCCCTTAACACTTCTTGAGCTATGTCTACATGGCTTTATGTACATTCATTGCTTCTAAATGCTACATAGTATTCCAAAGATTTCATCTACACAAATTGCTCACCTATTTTCTCAGATATGGACACACAGGTTGTTTCTAGCTCCCCATTATTACAAATAATGCTAGGATAATATACTTGTATATGTCTCTTTATAGATTGTATAAGAATTTCTTTCCATTATTTACCCAGGAAGGAAATCATGGGGCCACAGGCTATAATAAACATCTTAATTCTTCTACTTTCCACAGCAGCTGTACCAGTTTACTATACCTCCACCTACAGTTCACAAGAATTTTCATCACCCTACATTCTCAACACTTGGTATTATACGTCTTTCTAACAGATGCCATTCTAATGTGTGTATAAAGTGTTATCTCTCCATTGTTTTATTTTGCACTTCTATGATGACTAGTGAGTTTGTGCATCTCTTCATAGATGTGTTAGCTATTTCAGCTTTACATCTGTATATTGCCTATTCCAGGGATTTGAAAAATAAAGATGCTTCCTTAGTCTATTGATGACAACAGGCTTCTATTCCACTGCTCTGAGAAATCAGAGTCAGTCAAAACGTTACTTACTGCTGCTGTTTTAAGTATTAGACAGCAGTTTAAGTTACATAAGGAGCCTGCAGTTCACTGACATTTTACAACTTTTTTCAAAAATACACCATGCACATTTTATCTGTTTTGATGATATGTGTGTTTGCAAAATTCTCTACAAAGCTTGTTTCTCATATTTCTAGACTCCTGTTTCCTCAAGGCTAATGATTTGACTCATAGTCTTTCCTCATACCTAAAAGAAAGTAAGTAAACTCTGATTTTTAAAAAATTATTTGCCAAGTTATTATTCCATTAATACATAAGGTTTCACTCTTTAAAATAAAAACATTAAAAACTACATTTAAAATCAGGAGTGTCCACATAATGTAGCAGGGGGCATGGGAAAGGCAGTATATACAGAGAAGACAAGTAATGATTCTATAGCATCTTACTACGCTGATGGACAGTGACTGTAATGGGGTATGTGGGGGGTCTTGATAATAGGGGGAGTCTAGTAACCATAATGTTTTTCAAGTAATTGTACATTAATGATATCAAAAAAAATCAGGAGTGTCCAGGTTACATGGATTTTAACTGGAGGTTTTTTAGGCCCATCTTGATATGAACATTTATTTACATTCATTCTTGTTTTGCTCTGGCTTTGGAAATTTGGATTTTGGTCTTGTTCTGTACTTTTAGACATTAGAAGCATTGGTCTATGAATCCAGAGAATAATTAATGTTCCAGTCCCAGGTTCCCCTCTAATTTGCTGTTGGGCCTGGGACAAGTCACCGAGTACTCCTCTACAACTTGGTTTGTTATCAAAAGATAAGGAAGTTGGGTTATGTGATCTCTATTCCCAACAACGATGTTCTTAAATCTCTTCACATGTTTGTATCACAGCCCATGGCTATTGCTTAGTCAGTCTAATTGGATCTTTTCAGTATGTGTTGTGTGTAGCCAGTATAATTAGATAGTCATTTATTTGTGGCTAAAATGACAATAGTTTAGATGTAGATATTTAACATTCTTCTTTCAAACTCTAATCTGATGACACTCACCTTGAGTTCATAAACCTTTCTCAGCCCCAAATGCAGCAAATGTAGGTAATAATAGAATCTACCCACTGGATTATGAGTACTAAAAAGAGAGAATTATGTAAAGCACTTAGCATAGTGTCAGTATTTAATAAATGTTTGCTATTATTTTAATGTCATCTCCATTTACATTTTAAGTCAAATGTCTTTAAAATTTGACATTATTGAATTAGAGTTCTTTTCCTATTTAGTCAATATTGCCTTCAAGCATCAAACATAAGTTAATAAAAATGTATTGTTCCAAACTTTTTTTTGTTTTTAGTCCTTAAACTAGTTACATTTAATTACTTGGCAGGTTAGGTGTTTTGTATTGTAAACTAAAGATAGTTCATTTTAATCTAATATCCAGAATGACCTGAGAATAGAATCTAAACAGTACTCATAATAATTTATTTGGCTTAAACACTAACACAGAAATAGTTGGAGAATGCTCAACTTTGGATGCCCTAATTTGCTATATTTAGAGTAATATTTTTCTCATGATCTTTCTTTTTAGTCTGCCCTAAGTGGGTAAAACTTTGGAAAAACCATAGTGAGAAGAAATCGGTCCTGATGCTGATCATCTGCAGCTCTGCCATCCGAGCCCTGGAGCTCATGAGGTCAGAGGCTTCACCTGTTCTGCTTTGTAAATGTTTCTGAGTAACTGATACGTGCCAAGCTGATATGTTCTATATGCTGGAGATGTAGCAATGAACAAAACAGGCAGAGTCCCCTCTCTCCCCTCTCTCATGGAAGTTACTTTCCAGAGAGGGAGACAGACAATAAATAGAAATATATACATTATAATGTCAGATAAGTGATAAGATACGTCAGAAAAAATAAAGCATGCATAGGGATAGAGGGGAGGATGGGGGTACTTCTAAAAGGATGATCCTAGAAAGCTTCTCTAAGGAGACTGACATTTGAGCAGTCCTGAACAAAATGAAGGAGAAAGCCAAGCAATTACCTAGAAAAGAGCACTCCAGGCAGAAGAGACAGGAAGCAATAAAGGCTCTGAGTTAGGATGCCACTGGATGTGTTACACAATCTGAATAATCATCCTAAAGGATCACTTTAGCTGCTGTGTGGAGAATGTACATTGTAGAGGACATGAATAAAAGCAGGGAGATCATATAAGCTATAAACAGTTTGAAGAAATAAGGGAAGAAGAGATCTAATTTAAAATAGTAGCAAAGAAAAAACAGGACACCAAGGAATAAGCTTACCAAAATCTATACAAAGAAAATATTACATAAGGGATGCAAAAGATCTTGAACGACCAAAAAGGAATAGCATATTGTTGGATGGGGAGAATCAGTGTCGTGAAGATGTCTGTTTCACCTAGAATGATCTACACATTCCACAGCTTCATGGTGGGAGTCCAACAGAATTGTTTTTAAATTAGATAAACTACTTCTAAGTTCATATGAGAAAATACATAAGAAAAATAGCTGAGAAAGTTCTGGAAAAAAAGAATTATTACAAAGTCCCAGTAAACAGTAGGGAACTGGCCAGTGCATGAAAGATAGATCAGATGAGTGGAACAGAATTGAAAGGTCAAAAACAGAGCCATATGCATATGAAAATGTAGCATATGGCAAAGGTGACAAATCAATAGGGAAAGATGGATTATTAATAAATGATATTAGAATAACTGGGCAGCCATCTGGAAAAACTAAGTTGGATCCATATCTTCTTATACCAAGATATAAATTCCAAATGAAACAAAAATTTTAATATAAAAATTACATTTTAAAGATAATTTGTCAGTGCTTTCACATACCTCTTCATTTACTGTAGTTTTTGTAGAATAAACAAAAAGGCTTCCCACTCAATCAATGGTTACATTCAGCTTTCAAAGGGCCATCAGAGTAGAATGGGATTTACTGGGACTAGCCCTCTGCTGGGGCCAGGCACTGTGCCAGACTTTGACAGAAGGAAAAACAAAGGAAAATCCAAGTCCTGAGGAAAAAGGAATGTGATCAAATAGACCAAGGTGCAAATGTAGATTCTCAGTACTTATTTAGCATCTGGTTTTCTAATTTAGAAAAGTAGTTTTTAAACTCTGTTAATAGTTCTTCAAACCCTCCTTTCCTCACTAGGTACACACAATAAATAGTATCACACACAGTCTAAGTAAAATGAAAGTGTTTCTTCCAAATATTTCTGCTCTAAACATAATTGACCTTCAAGACACCAATTGTTTCTGGGCAGCTGTACTTGCTGGTTCTGAAATAACAGGCATTCACATTGACTTTTCAGTGTTTTTAGAACTACCACCAGGGAAGGCATTGAGATTCAGATGCTAATGGCAAAGAGGTTAGCCTGGAGGTGGCCTTTTAAAAACAAGCTGTCACATTGATTTGAGCTTTCACTGCACATAAATACCTTTCTGAGGGACATAAAAGCACTATATTGTCACAATTCATTTACCAATTATCAGTGTTTTTCTGTGTCTTCAGTAACATTATGATCCATTTCAAGGTTAGGCTGATCTGCAAAAGGTGATCTCTGAGCAGGCACAATGAACCCTATTCATAAAGACTAATGTTGAATAATACTAACTGGTAAGAATATCTGCTCTATTGAGAACCATGAGTTATATGGAATATGTCCCCTAAATTGTCTTCCTAGTTAACCTCGTCATGAAGAAAGCTTATGTTGTAAGGAAAAACTGGAGCACAGCAGATCTTGCATAGAGTGATTTACTGTTTACTGTTTCGCAAACTCATATGTTCCTCCTCATCAGGATTTCTCAAAACATTATAATAATATGTAAAGAAAAGTAATACTCCTGAGCAGTATTCCTACGTTAGTTCTACCCACAAACATCAACTAAAAGATTGTTTGTTCTTTTATACCCATTTATACCCAAAGCATTTCTACATGTAACATTTTACAGAAAAGCTCACTCTGCAAAGTAGATAAAAGTAGGGGGCTGCTCTGATGGAAAGACATAATAAGCCCCTTTTCCTTGTAAGCTCATTCCTAGCTCCTCCTAATGGCAGCAACAGACCTTTGTAAATGCCCTTGGGCTCCATGGAGTGCAAGCTGGCATCAATGCTCTAAGATATTTCTCACAACCAAATTTTATATGAGAACTATACTGTACAGTTTGAAAATAAATTCTCTGCCAGGAACCTGAAATACAGAAATGTTGTATTACAAGTGAAAGGTGAAAGGCAGATCCATATGTTTCAATAATCAAGGAAACCTAAGTAAAGTTAACCTTGTCTTTGAGAGAAGCCAACCCAGATACATGCCTAAGTAAAAGGTCACCCCACTTTCATTCCAGAGACAGTGTAACCAGAAAATATCAGAATTTTTTGTATGTGTGTGTGTGTGTGCATATATATATGCACACACACACACACATACATATGCTCATATATACACATATAAATGCACATATTTTTCTAAATAAAGCACTGCATAATACTTATGTAGTCAGTGTAGCCTGGAATGAGTTGAATTTTCATATGCATTAACCTGTTCCTTTTCATTAGGTCAATGACAGCATTCAGAGGAGACAGCAAAGTTATGAAATTATTTGCAAAACACATAAAGGTAGGCAAGAGACTGTGGTCCCTGGTGGAGGTTGTAAGTGATCCTTAAGAACCACTCCCAAACTTGAACTTTTCCCCTTCATCTTCTCCTTTTCTCCTTAGCAAATGTTTTCTCTGCTACCTCCTTCTCTAACATAGGTAACAGCCACTCTGATCAACTTTGCATTCTCTGCCTCTGCATACCCACCTGCCTTCACAACAGTCACTACTATCCCTCGATGCCCTGAGATTCCTGTATAGAAGCTGAAGTTTGACTGCTGATTCTTTGAAGATTTAGCAGTTTTATAGGGAGATGCTCTTCTATCTTGATGTTAACCTTCTTTGCCCTGGACATTGACCTCAAACAAGTATACAAGTATAGGCTTCTATACTTTCTTAATTAAATTTGCTTAAGTATAGGCTTTTACACTTTCTTAACTAAATTTCCTAGATAAAATACTCAAAATTGGCCCATGATTGCTCTTTCTAATGACTCTTCTTTTCTCTTTCTTCTATCTTGGAATAGGTCCAGGAGCAGGTAAAGCTGCTGGAGAAGCGTGTCATGCACCTGGGTGTAGGAACTCCAGGGAGGATTAAAGAGCTTGTTCAACAAGGTATGAAAAGAAGCAGTGATACACCTACATAGAGGTGGGAATTTGCCTTACCCTGCCATGTGTTTGGGAAACCACATTTGTGATGTAGTGAAACCAGACTTCTCTGTTACATCAGGAAGTGGAGATAGCCTTCAGTCTCCAGAGCCAGCGGTGGGAGTGATGCAGTAGGGACTGGTGAGGATGTGGCACAATATGCAGTCATGCGCCCACCTCAACACATTCAAGTACCAATTGCTTTAAGCAGGTTAGTGGATCCTCAATTCATTCCACCAATTTGCAACATCTGGAATTTGTAGAGCTGGATGTGTTGTGTATTTCTATCTCAAGTAAGACTCTTACTTGGTACAAAACTCCCATTAGTTGAGGGCTGGTATATAAAACATGTTGAAACAAAAATTCAGTTCTATGGATGACATATAGATTTGTTTAGAATATTTCTTCTGAATACATTTCTCTTTCAGTGCTTTACCCAGAAAAGCATTCCAGACAGCATCCACTGATGGGTTTTTAGAGTTTGTTGACTTTCACAAAGCCAGTACCTCTTAAGCCTGCAAACCTGCTGATGACCTTATTACCTGTTTTACCTGCTAGACAGATTAAAGCTTTCTTCTCAATGCTCATTTCCAAATTACTTATTTAATGTAGTAATAGAACTTTGTTATATAACTGCGGAGCTACTCGTTGATTTTTTTTATATACCTAGAAGTAATCTGTTCATCAATATAGTAACTCAGTATAGAAATAGTCATTTGCCAGGAAACAAACAAAAGCTTAAAATGCTGGTGTTTCTGTCCAAATGAAAATCATCCAGGGTTAAATGAGCCCACTACATACAGAAGTCTATATAATTACAGTGAAGTGACAAACATGGCAGCCCCAGACAAGGAAGGGAACCAAATATTTTTAAGTTCCTACTTGGACTTAGTGCTACTAAACGCTCTTACGTGCCTCATTTGGTATTCAGGACATCCTTGCAGGCTAGCATTCTTATTTTTCTTATTTCTTATAAGAGAAAACTCAAGTTCTGAAGGATTAAGTGTCCCTCTGAAGGTCTCTCAGTCTAGGTGTTCCTAGTTCAGAGCCTTTCCCCCTCTAGGAGATCGATCCTGATCCAGTTGAAGAGGTAAATGTACGAAGAATAAGATTGACAGCATAAGGCAGTAAATGCCAAGGGCCAAATGAGCACGCCTAAGTCCTATAAGAGTTGAAATGGCAAAATTGTTAGGGCGGCCAGATCTGTATGGAAGGCTTTATAGAGGAAAAGGTCTTTAACTGATTTCGAAGTATGAGGATAATTAAAATAGGGTCTTTGAAGTGTGGATGTGAGAAAAGCAATCAGGAATAAGCAAAGAGCAGATTTAGAGGAGGACAGGCAGATACACACAGTATATCTAGAGGAGGTGATAAGTAGGCAATACAGTGTAGAGGTTAAGACCCCCTGTTATGGATTCAGGCCTCCAGATTCAAATCCCTGGTCCAGCAACTTACCTACTCTGCGACCTTGACAAGTTACTTAACCTTCCTAAGCCTGTTTCTTTATCTGAATGACAAGGAGAGCAACGGTACCTCCTCAAAGGATTGTTGTACAAGTGAAAATGCCAATAAAGAGCTCAGCACAGTGAGTATCATGCCCTTAGAACTCAACAAATGCTGGTTATTAGTTGTATTAAAGAGACCACCTTTCTTGGTTGGAGACTTCATGGCCTGTAGTAGCCAGTGATTCAGTTGGAAAGAAAGTTAGATTGTAGAGGGAGGACCTCAAACAGTAAGACCAAGAGTCTAGGCTTTTGTCTTGTGGACACTGGACAACACTGAAGTGGAGAACAGGTAAGAGGTGCTCGTAGTCCATCTCTGAGACACAAAATTGGGACAGATTGCCTAGGCAGCCAGAGAGCCCAGGGATGGCCAGAGACTCCCCCATAGCTCTTAGCCAGATACACCTCTCTCCTTTCTGGAATACAGATGGATTTTTGTATGTCCAGGCCTCCCCATACAAGAGAGCCATTCTCATCCATATCTAAGAGAGAGGGAGAGAGAGAGAATGGAGCTGTACAGATGGTTGAAATTAGATTTCTTCAGAGATTTGAAAGCTTCTTTCATTTAAGAAGTGGAAAAATAATTTAAGGAACTGTTGATTTTTTAATAATATTTGTGCTAATAGTTATACTAATGAAAATAACTTCCTTCTGATTCTGATTGGATGAATGGTTTGAAATTCATTAGCCACAGGTGTTAGTCTGTATACAAAGTGTTTAAAGAGAACAATTAACAGCACTCTAGAAACTGAAAATCTTAACAAATGACACATAACTCATTTTATGTAGCTGGTTATGACTTAAGATGTTTACATATATATGATATTAAGGAGAGTTTCTAGACATTGAAAGATAGCCCATGACATTGGAATCTATGCAGTTATAGACAGAATCATACTGTTTTAGTTTAATAATGAAGGCGATTTTCTGACCAGCTTTTGAAAAAGGCAAAAAGCTACAAAAAATAAAAGTTACTTTAAAGTGAATCTCTTATTAGTTATATTGGATATATTTCCTTTTGATCTTTTCCCTATGTATTTGTATGCTTTTTTATAAGTGAAGATCATACTGTATATCATAATTTTATAACCTTTTCTACTTAACATATATCTACTTAACAAAGTCTTTTCTACTTAACAGATATCATGAACACTTTCCTTGTTCTAATTTTTCATTTTTAATGGCTACATAACATTCTATTGTAAAGTTATATTGGTTTTTTCCATTTAAGTTCCTACTTGGACTTAGTGCTACTAAACGCTCTTACGTGCCTCATTTGGTATTCAGGACATCCTTGCAGGCTAGCATTCTTATTTTTCTTATTTCTTATAAGAGAAAACTCAAGTTCTGAAGGATTAAGTGTCCCTCTGAAGGTCTCTCAGTCTAGGTGTTCCTAGTTCAGAGCCTTTCCCCCTCTAGGAGATCGATCCTGATCCAGTTGAAGAGGTAAATGTACGAAGAATAAGATTGACAGCATAAGGCAGTAAATGCCAAGGGCCAAATGAGCACGCCTAAGTCCTATAAGAGTTGAAATGGCAAAATTGTTAGGGCGGCCAGATCTGTATGGAAGGCTTTATAGAGGAAAAGGTCTTTAACTGATTTCGAAGTATGAGGATAATTAAAATAGGGTCTTTGAAGTGTGGATGTGAGAAAAGCAATCAGGAATAAGCAAAGAGCAGATTTAGAGGAGGACAGGCAGATACACACAGTATATCTAGAGGAGGTGATAAGTAGGCAATACAGTGTAGAGGTTAAGACCCCCTGTTATGGATTCAGGCCTCCAGATTCAAATCCCTGGTCCAGCAACTTACCTACTCTGCGACCTTGACAAGTTACTTAACCTTCCTAAGCCTGTTTCTTTATCTGAATGACAAGGAGAGCAACGGTACCTCCTCAAAGGATTGTTGTACAAGTGAAAATGCCAATAAAGAGCTCAGCACAGTGAGTATCATGCCCTTAGAACTCAACAAATGCTGGTTATTAGTTGTATTAAAGAGACCACCTTTCTTGGTTGGAGACTTCATGGCCTGTAGTAGCCAGTGATTCAGTTGGAAAGAAAGTTAGATTGTAGAGGGAGGACCTCAAACAGTAAGACCAAGAGTCTAGGCTTTTGTCTTGTGGACACTGGACAACACTGAAGTGGAGAACAGGTAAGAGGTGCTCGTAGTCCATCTCTGAGACACAAAATTGGGACAGATTGCCTAGGCAGCCAGAGAGCCCAGGGATGGCCAGAGACTCCCCCATAGCTCTTAGCCAGATACACCTCTCTCCTTTCTGGAATACAGATGGATTTTTGTATGTCCAGGCCTCCCCATACAAGAGAGCCATTCTCATCCATATCTAAGAGAGAGGGAGAGAGAGAGAATGGAGCTGTACAGATGGTTGAAATTAGATTTCTTCAGAGATTTGAAAGCTTCTTTCATTTAAGAAGTGGAAAAATAATTTAAGGAACTGTTGATTTTTTAATAATATTTGTGCTAATAGTTATACTAATGAAAATAACTTCCTTCTGATTCTGATTGGATGAATGGTTTGAAATTCATTAGCCACAGGTGTTAGTCTGTATACAAAGTGTTTAAAGAGAACAATTAACAGCACTCTAGAAACTGAAAATCTTAACAAATGACACATAACTCATTTTATGTAGCTGGTTATGACTTAAGATGTTTACATATATATGATATTAAGGAGAGTTTCTAGACATTGAAAGATAGCCCATGACATTGGAATCTATGCAGTTATAGACAGAATCATACTGTTTTAGTTTAATAATGAAGGCGATTTTCTGACCAGCTTTTGAAAAAGGCAAAAAGCTACAAAAAATAAAAGTTACTTTAAAGTGAATCTCTTATTAGTTATATTGGATATATTTCCTTTTGATCTTTTCCCTATGTATTTGTATGCTTTTTTATAAGTGAAGATCATACTGTATATCATAATTTTATAACCTTTTCTACTTAACATATATCTACTTAACAAAGTCTTTTCTACTTAACAGATATCATGAACACTTTCCTTGTTCTAATTTTTCATTTTTAATGGCTACATAACATTCTATTGTAAAGTTATATTGGTTTTTTCCAGTTTTATTGAGATACAATTGACATATAATATTAGTCCAAGGTGTATAACATAATGATTTTATGTATACATACGCATATACACACATATATCTCAAAATGATGAGATATAAGTTTAGTTAATCACAATAAGTTTAGTTAATCAATCACCTCACATAATTACAGTTTTTTTCTTGAAATGAGAACTTTTAAGATCTTCTTTCTTAACAACTTTAAGGCATACAGTACAGTATTATTAACTGTAGTCACTATGCTGTACATTAGGTCCCAGAACTTACTTTTATTGTAATTGGAAGTTTCTACCTTTTGAATACTTTCACCCATTTCCCTCCTCCCCATCTTCTGACAAACACCAGTCTATTCTCTGTTTTTTTTAATTCTACATATAAGTGAGATCATACAGTATTTATCTTTCTCTAATTTATTTCAGTAAGCATAATGCCCTCAAGGTCCATCCATGTTGCTGCAAATGGAAGGATTTCCCTCTTTTTTAAATGATTGAACAATATTTGTGTGTGTGTATATCACATTTTCTTTATCCATTCATCTATTGATGGACACTAAGGTGGTTTCCATGTCTTGGATATTTTAAGTAATGCTGCAGTGAACATGGGGCTGGACATATCTTTTCAAGGTAGTATTTTCATTTCCTTTGGTATACACCCAGAAGTGGAATTGTTGGGTCTATTGGTAGTTTCATTTATAATTTCTTGAGGAACCTCCATACTGTTTTCTGCAGCAGCTGCACAAATTTGCATTCCCACCAGAAGGGTACAGGATTCCCTTTTTTTCACATCTTCTCCAGCACTTGTTATTGCTTGTCTTTTTGATAATAGTCATTCTAACTGGAACTGAAGTAATATCTCATTGTGGTTTTGACTTGCATTTCCTCAATGTTTAGTGATCTTGAGCACCTTTTCATGTACTTGTTGGCCATTTGGATGTCTTCTTTGGAAAAAATATCTTTTCAGTTCCTTTGTTTGCTTTTTAGTCATATTGTTTGGATTTTTGCCACTGAGTTGTATGAATTCTTTATATATGCTGGATATTAATTCCAAGTTATATTGTTTTTTAGCAATTCTATTATGGTAGTATATCTGGATTGTTTCTAATTTTTTGCTATTGTAAATATTACTGCAATGATCATATCTGCAGGTAACTATGTTTATATTTCTGGCATTGTTGTTGGGATATATCTTTGAAAATTATTTTATTAAATAATAAGCATTTTAAAACTCCCATTATATAATGCCCAACTGCCTTCCAGAGAGGCCATAAGTGTTCTCTCATAAGCAGTAAGTTATTTTTAAGACTGACTACCAATCCATTGTCTTTCTCAATTTATCACTTTTAATTTTGCACAGAGAGCTTTAAATAAGAGGCATTGTAAGTATAAGAAGAATGAAAAGTCTTTAGGGCAGAGAGGAAAATATTGAAATAACCACACAGAAAAGTTGAGGAGAAGTGCTGCAGAGTAAAGGAAGGCTTCAGTCATGTCCCACATGCGGCTTGTACAGCTTGGCAGGCGGGAAGGGCGTGGGCAGTGGGAAAAACTAACTGTGTCCAACTCAGACCTCTGAGGAGCGGACAGTCGCTGAGCCGCTCTGCCCCAGCCCCACATTCCGTAATCGTCTCTAAGGAGTCAAGAAGGCAGAAGGGATGGAATCCGTAAGTGGTTTACCAGTCTCCTCAAAGGATAGCAAACTTTGAATATAGCCCATTTGTCTTTTAATTCCTTTTCTGCCTAAGATTAACCCCCCAACCTTCACTCTGCTGCCCTCTCCCCTCCTCAGAGTCATGGACCGTTGTCCCAAACTGCAGAATACATTTTATCAAATCCCGGTCAGTAATGAGACTTCACCCTCTGGGCCTTCATGACATGAAGGCTTGGAATTGATTCTTTGCCAGCTTGAGTATTTGACGAGTTCACCAAGAGCAGCTTCCCGGCTTCCCTCAGAACCAGGGAGAAGATGACAAGGGAGAGAGTCTCAGAGCGCCGCCTTTGTTTCCACCAGACAGGGGCGGCGCTTCACGGCAGAGACAAGTTGGCAAGGGAGAGGACAGCAAATGAGGCAAAAAGCGAGCAGGAGAATGAAAAATCATTTTTATAAGGTTATGTCATGAGGTCTTTATTGCAGCAGTTCTCTCTCTGTCTCCTTCAGGTGGCCTTAATTTGAACCCCTTAAAGTTTCTGGTTTTTGACTGGAACTGGAGAGATCAGAAGTTGAGGAGGATGGTGGACATTCCCGAGGTACCATGTAACCAGCAATTGCCTTTAATCTTTTCTTTTTTTATTTGAACTTAAGTTCAAACACAGTTATAAAGTCTTTGACACGGGGAGCCAGCACATTCTGGCCTTTGAAATGATTTCTCTCTTTTCACTCTGAAGTAACGGCAATTACAGAGGCCATCTCACCCCGTACACACAACTGTATCCTTTCCATGTGCTTTATAGGAATCAGCTTTGTTTCTTCATTAAATGACCAGTGGCCTCTGCCCCTCTGGGGACCACATGTGTACTGTACCTTGGAGGAACAGGAAGATCTGGAGGACTTGGCACATCTCCCTGTACCTCGCTGTAGAGACAGGATCGTCTTTGCCTTTCAACTTTATAAGTGCACCTGGAGGCAGGGCACACACTTGCCTTGTTGCTTGCATCTGCGTATCCCTAAACACCCACTTACTTAATTTAGAGGACCATTTTGGGTTTGGGGGATAGGCACATTTCCTACTATCTCAGCAGATTAAACCTGAATGCCTTTGTGAGCACAGAATTAGCTCACTATGTATTTATGAAAATAATCTGTTATCATAACGTGAAAAACTGCTACCTACCAAGGGGCTAGTTTTTTAATCTAGATGCTTAGAAGTAGCTCTTGGAGAGAAAAGAGTTTACACAGTAATAAACGGCTGCCAGTCACCCACAGAAATGACTCATGGCAGTAACTATCGAAGAGGCTTGAAATTACTCCTTCAAACCTGCTGAATGAATTAATTTACCATGTAAAACTATTGCCAGAATGACCAAACCTGATTATAATTGATCAGTGAGTTGTATCAGATATTCCTTCAGGTTAAAAGACAATCTCTCAGCTCCCTAGTCATATACACACACACATACACACACACCCTGTCCCCTGAACTGACTTGTTTTTTAAAACTGGGTTAACCAATTTGGTATTAGGTACATGAGGCCATATTTGATGATCTCAGTTGTAATGTTAAATCTGAGTAATCCACTACTGGTTTTCTAATTATAATAATGAGGGGAAACGGTGTCCAATAAAAATCCTTGACATACATACTTATTTTTATTATGTTGATGTCATTATTAGCAGTTATCTTATATTGAAATACTGTGTATAATCTAGGCATACTTTTGATATCTTGAAACACCTTTGTATATGATTCTTTTTTATGAGATTTTATTTTAAATGGCTACAAATAAAAAGGCACTTTAATGGAACTGATATTTTATATAGTGCCTCTTACCTTGACTTTCGTAAATATTTCAACTCATTAAAACACAGGCCACAATAGCTGAATAAGTACCAGGAAGTCTGGATGGCTGAATTTGTTCACCAAGACCATCTTTTCTTAGCCTTAACCTTTTTTTCTCTTCTCTTCTCTCATGTAGATAAGAAAGGAGGTTTTTGAACTTCTGGAAATGGGAGTCCTTAGTCTGTGCAAGTCAAAATCTTTGAAGCTGGGCCTTTTCTAAATCTGGGTCCTAATGAAAATCCATTTTCATGGCGGGCTTTGCATGTAGTTTAATGGCTCTGGTACATTGCAAGCACTCAGTGAATACCAGGTATTGTTTTATTGTGTTAACTGCATCACCAGATGGATCACTGGGAATGTGTGATGGAGACTGACAAAAATGAAGCCGTCCTTCACCAACTCCCTTGTATAATAAAATATCACTGGTTTATGTGTGATTTTTGTTGAGCAGATTGAGTTCTTCTCTCACCAACCAGCCTCTGATGTGACTGGGCAAAAGGGAAAGAGCAGCTGGGCAACCTTAAACAAGCCCCTTGCTTTTCTCAGCCGCAGTTTCATCACCTGTGAAATGGAGATATCATGCAGGATTGTTGGCAATTTCCTGTGATGTACATGTGGAACAGATTTGGGAACCGAAACATGGTCCCAGTGTGGAGGATGGTGGTGGTGGTAGAAAGAGCTACAAGGATAAAGGCTTTGTAAATGTGTAAAAGGCAACAATATAACTACAACTGTCTTACTCATTTTTTTTTAACTTTTCGTTTTGAAAGAATGTCAGACTTACTGAAGAGTTGCAAAAATGGTATAGAGAATTCCTATATCCTCTTTCCCTAATGTTAACATCTTATATACCATAGAACAATTATCAAAACTGAGAAAAAAGCATTGGTACAATACAATTAACTACACTACAAACTTTACTCAGATTTCACTAGTCTAACCACCGATGGTCCCTTTTCTATTCCAGGATCCAGTCAAGGGTCCCACATTGCATGGGTGTGTTTCCTCAGATTCCTCAGATCCATGACAGTTCCTCCGACTTTACTTTTACTTGTCTTCCATGACCTTGACACTTTTGGAGAATACTAATCAGGTTTTAATAAAATGTCCCTCAATTTGGGTTTTTCTATTATTTTCTTATGATTGAATTGAGAGTCTGCATTTTCTGGCAAAATACTATAGAAGTGATATGTCCTTCTTGTTGCATCGTATCAGAGGCTACGTAATGTTGATGTGTCTTCTTACTGGTGATGTCCGCCTTGATGATTTGGTTAGTATGGTGTCTGCTGATTTTCTCCACTGTAGAGTTACTGTTTTTCCCTTTGTAACTAAGATCTATCTTGGGGGAAATATTTTGAGGCTATGTAAATATCCTGTTTTTCTTCATCTTCTGCCTACTAATTTCAGCAGCATAAGTAGTTCTTGCCTAAAATAGTTACTACTGTAGGGATCTGTTTCCCTCATTGCTTCAACATTTACTAATCAGAACTCTTCTGTAAGAAACACTATGCCTTTTTCCCATTTACTTGTTCATTCAATTGTTTATTTATATCAGTATGGACTTGTGATATTTATTTTGTTCTATGGGTTGTAATTGAATGCCACTGGTTTTTATTTTGTTGTTCAACTTCACTTCTTTTTTTACTCATTTAAATAATGTTTATTGACTACCCTTCTGTGTCAAGCATTGTATTTAGGACTTTGACTTGCACATAATCTATCATGTTTAATCATTGAAATAATCCTGAATGAAAAGTGTTATTACATTTTATAGATGATGAAACTGAATCTCAGAAAGGACACACACTACTCTTAAGTAGCGGAACCAGAAGTAAAACCCATATCTCCCATGTTCACTTTAGGACACCATGATACCTGTTTGCAGAATCAGGCATATGAAACAGAGATAATAAAACAAAAAGATGACATCACTCTTAGATAAAATTCCACCTTTGAATATTGTGAAATTTTAAGTGAGCCTGGCCGTTTACCATCTCAGACTCCAGCAAATCACATGCTTTTGAACACCAGCGACTTGCTCCTAGTGCACCTCTGTGGTCTGGAAGCCACACACAGGGACTAGAAGGAAGAGGAGCAAGTTCCATTCTGCAGGACGCTGACTCTAGCCAACAAGTCAGAGGGAATAGAAAGAAGCCACTACAAAATGAAAAATCACTCAAGCTATAGCTAAACTTAGCCCGTATTTTCATCCTTTCAGTCCTGACATGTGAGATGTTCTTGAGCACTGGTAAGAAAAACCATGGATCATGTGTCTTCCCAATATAGTCATTTAACTCCCTGTCAAATGATATAACCTTAGATTAATCTGGAAGAAAATAAAAAGCATGATTATATAAGAAGACAGATTTGCAAATTGAGGCATGCAGTCTGCTCTGTCAGAATTTAGAATTCAATAGTGATCCACCAAGCTGCTACTGACTTGCTAAAACCAAAAACTGAGGCCAAAACAATGAATATTATGTGTGCATACAAGTATATGTGTGTGTAAGTGTACTCCACATATATAACCACTTCTGAATCTATACTTATATTTAATACATTTTCATCCCAGCAGTTAATAGGAAAAGTTAATAGTGAAATATGAGGCAACCTATGTATTATACAATGTCTAATTATGTCTGAGGAGGCTGTCTACACAGCAGTTAAAGAGAAATGAAAGCAAGAACTTAAAAAATCACTTTCTGAAATTTGTAATAATACCTCAATACAACAACCACTAACAAACTGCCATAACCATGTTATGGTTCTCCCAGGGATAGTCTTCCTCCCAGGGGCCATTTACTATGTCTGGGGACATTTGGTTGTCACAACTGGGAGGCTGCTACTGGCATCCAATGGGGGTTGTAACAGGCATTTAGTGGGTAGAGGCCCCAGATGCCGCCCAATGTTCTGCAGTCCTACAGGACAGCCCCCACAGCAGAGAGGTATCTGGGCCAAAATGTTGGTAGTGCTGAGGCTGAGGACCCCAGCTGTAGAAATTTGGAAAGTGGAACATATGAAGTATATCTGTATAGTTTAAGTAGGTTTCCTTTCATATATATATTTGGGGGGGTATATATTTTGTTTATTGAACTATAGTTGATAAACAATATTATATTGGTCACAAACATACAACAGTGATTTGGCAGCTATAAACATTATTAAATCCTCACCCCAGCAGTATAGCTACTATCCACCAACATAGAAAAATGTTACAAAACTATTGACTATATTCTCTATGCTGCACTTCCATCCCCATTGACTGAGATTTATAGTGACTGAGATTTTGTGCCTCCTTATCCCCTTCAAGAAGGTTTTTTTAGAGAAAAAAATGTGAACATAGAAGTACCTGTAAAATGTGTATCTGGCTACCTCTTAAGAATATTGCTCCAGAAATGTTTTCCCTTACTACCTGTGATGATTAATTTATTTGTCAACTTGACTGGGCCACAGGTTGCCAGATCTAAAATTCTGGGTGTCTCTGTGACGGTATTTTTCAATGAGATTAACATTTGGATATTGGATTTGTGTAAACAGACTACCTTCCCTAATGTGGGTAGGCCTCATCCTGTCAGTTGAAACCCTAAGTAAAACAAAAGGTTCACACCCCACCGCCAACCCTCCCCCAACAAGTAAGAGAGAATTCTGCCTTCCAACTGAAATGTGGGCTCTTCCTGCCCAATCTTCTCCAAACTGGGACATCAGCTCCTCATGATTCTACAGCAGCTTAGGCCTTTGGACTCAAACTGGGACATCAGCTCTTAAGACTGGATTTGCCACCTTCTCCATAATTATGTGAGCTAATTTCTTAAAATAAATCTCTTTTTCTATGTATGTAAACATATATATATCTCCTATTGGTTCAGTTTCCCTGCATACTAGCTGTGAAGCTCCTTTTAGTTTGGAATTTTGGTTAGTTTGGTTTTGTCATTTTACAAAAAGCCTAGGAAATACTCTTCTTATTGATTTGTTACTGTAATGACCCTTTTGCTTGGTGTTATCAATATAATATAATCCCATCCAATGTTGGAACAAGTTCCTAGATTACAAACGGACCTGATATTTTGTAGGCCAACCCTGCACATATAATCTAATTTCATAGGCTGTTCCTGCCTTTTAAGCCCAAGTTCTTGGCCATGTTTATTTAGTAAAATATATAGCAAATACAAACCAGAAGTGTTCACTGCCATGTCTCACACAAGGTTGTCTAATACCAGCCATACTCATCCCCACCTCCAAGCCAGATTCAAATGACGTGCTGAAAAGTTCCTGTTGGTATTGTGCTTTTCCCGCCCCCCATTTTGCAAGAAGGAAGCTTTGATTCTGAATTGGAAACTTCTTGTGTAAGTATTTGCATTTATTCTGTATTCTTTTAACTTGGTACATTTGCCAAAGTCATTGCTTTCTTTAACATAAGAATACTCCAGCATGGCTTCTCTGCCTAATGTTAACAAAAAAGGAAGATTAGAAACTCCCCTAATTTTTTAAAAATCCTAATTCTACATCTGAAATGAATCCTGAAGAAGGGGAAATAATTATTAACAGCCTAATTAATGTTAGTGTTTTTCTAATAAGTGAAAAAAAATTCAAAACCAAACCAATAATACCATATTGAATTTAATCAATTACCATATTCCTCTTCCTTTCTCTTGCCTCATTTGGGCTACTCCAAAGCATGTGCTTGGGAAACATTTAGAGATGTTTTTAATGTACATTTTCTGCAAAAGTTTTCCTTACATGTGAAAAAAATTGGAAACTGTTTAGACATTTGTGTTCTGTAATCCCTGTTTGCTTCTCCTTCCTCATTACCACAAATGGCAAAGTTAGCTGTAAACTGAGAGCATTTTTCCAATTTAGTTTATATTCATGTTAGGTGACAGCCACATTTGGAAAAAAGCTGACAGCCATAACTTATTTTCTGTATTAATCTCCAAGGATTTAGACAAATTTCTTGAAGATAAATCCACTTTCCCCCTATCAGAATGGGCTTGCCTTGAATTAGTTACCTCCTCCCGGAAACAGCCCATTGTAACTTCTTCCCTGTGCCACCAGATGTTGGTTTATGCAAACCAGACCCTGCTGGGAACTGTTCTTCCTGGGCATCGCATTTAGCACAAGTTTTTTGAGCCAGCCTAAGTGAAATAAACCTCACACTGGTTGGTTGAAGAGATCTGTGCTCCTGTGAATATCAGGTTTGATTAAGGAATAATTCCAGGCAAAGGAAGAATTTGCAACTACAAAGGAAGGTTCACATAATTCTTACCTTAATATTACCATTATGTGGTGTCACTATGAGGAGTGTTATTAAAAGCCTCTAAAGGGTATCTCAGTCACCTGCAGGACCAAAATGAAGAGGCCATCCCAGTCCTGCCCTTCCAGACTGCAAACACTGCCTTGAAGCAGCAGCACCTGCCCACCTCCCAGCTCAGCTCTCAGC